GGGGGGGGGGGGGGGGACAGATGGGCTTGTACTTCAGGAAACCAAACGAAGGTGAAAGTTTTTCAACTCACGAATCGTTATGTAAAAGTTTGCCGGTTGTATTCACTTGGTGGGGAACGTAAAAAACTTCTCAGCTGTAAGGTATTCCCCATGATAGTTGCAGTCACCAATGTTATGTTGGTCATTTTACTTTCTTGGTGATACTGAGAGAATTTGAAATCAAAACCGCAGAGATTAAGTTTGCTGTTTCTCAATTATTTTTACAGAGTTTTAATTTTCCCACCAGTGAACAACTACCGGCGTTTTCTCATCCATCAAATTGTTCAGGACAATTTCTCGGATCACTTGAGCACATTCTCCATTGGCCAAGGCTCAATTAGGCGCACAGTCGTGTGCTACAAGTCGGACGTAATCCGGTGTGTACAATTGATAAATATTGAATAATTAAAATTTTACAGAAGTGGTGGATTGAGATAAATCCAATAATTTTACACAGACTAGTTTGCGAAAATGCTTGAAACTAATAGGTTTGAAGAAGATTGTCACAAGACTTGTCTCCCGCAGCTTATGAAATTACCCATGAAAAGGTTTTTTAGTAATTATTTTTTTGAAAATCTCTTACTTAAGAATATATTTGCAAAAAAATTCTACGAACTTTCTTGAAGCCCTTACGCGAATTCCCTTCAACGCGTCCGTCCTAAGAATATCCGTGAAGCAATCAACGAATCCTTCCTAAAATTGAACGCACGTGTGAAGATAGTTTTTCGAATATTTCCGGAACTACAAGGTTGAAAAGAAATGTCCGAAAACTTTCTTTTCAAGTGCACAAAATTTCTTATAAAAAATTCTCGATCAATTTTTTTGAACTTCTCCCTTCGAAGATATTGAAAAAAGATAATCAGTGACTCGAGATTATTCCGCAAATATTTTCGAAATGAAGACATTTAGGATCATTTATTAAAAGATCTTCCTTGTAGTCATTAAGAAATCTTCAATTTTTCTCAACTTCTCTCTTTTTCCGAAGGCGATCGCGAATTAATTTGTAAATCTTTGATAAAGTCAAAAATTGACATACGGATAAATCTCTAAATATCTCCCAAATTAATAGGATTAGAGAACAATATCATAGAAAAGTTGTATACCCGAAAAAGTTCTCTACAAAAAACATATCTTGGCGTTTCCCTAACAAACCCTTAAGTTATTGATGTATTACCAAAGTGATTCGCGAATTTGTTTTGGACTTATCTTTTACCACTTCACAGCTCGATCTTTTTGTTTTGCGGTTGTGCATTTGCAATGTTAGTGACACTTTGCCAAGAATATATTTTTAGTCATGCCAACAGTGTTTGTCCCCTCTGCACCCATTTTTTGGCTTTAGTCAAGAAAGTTCCGCGCGAAATCGGCTTAATGAACCCCCGATCATTGCATGATGATAGAAATACCGTTAAGTGGATCCCAGTTGTTTTTTAACTTTATCATTGAGAAACCAAAAATTGATATCCCGTTTATTAATTCAGAGACCCAAAATTGAACGGTGTGGTATCGCCGAAGGGCAGTGACTCTTCGTCGAGGATGAGGGTCGAGAACAGACGCTCGCCGTCAGCTTCACCGGATAATTTACGTCAGCGACAAGGTAACGAAATTAATGTCAATAATAAAATGGTAGAACGTAATGAGTCGAATGTGAAATGTTTAGAAATTAGATGTTTATGTTGGTAATGAGTCATTCTATGAAAATGTCAAAAAAAATTTCCTGCACATTTAAAGAAAATCCAATAGAACAACCTAACCCTTCGGCTTTGTATGGAAATTGGAATTTCAGCATAATTCTGTTGAAATTCTATCCAATTTGTGCCGATTACTATTGAAAATATTACAGCCCTTCTACGCGATGTCCGACAGATATTTCATAAAATAGAAAAATATCTATTTTGATTTTGTTATGTGACTCATTTTCTCGAAATATTTTTTATGAGTGTGCTTGGACATCGAGGTACGCGGTAGCGTATCGGCCAAGAAAAGTTTTGACCGACTGAGCAAAACATCAGGCTGAGAGCACCGCGTATCTATGCACGACAGAACTTCCCCCTCCACTACCTCTAAATGATTTACATTCGGTATAATGAAACCGGGACGACAAATCGGGAAAGTGTCGTTACTTACATTATATAAATCGCCTATGAGCTTTTCAACGGTGTAACTATGGTATTTTTTGGATTAACAGTAAAAAAGATAGGCGCATAGCAACGAGTTGATATTCATATTCTCGCGATTCACATTATAAAGTGTGAGAATCAAGTTGTAACGTTGGCAGCGCCGGTCCAAATGAGCTTCATATCCAACGTTGAAGTGTTGCCCCCAGTGAATTTGAATGTGGATTGTGATGTTGTTATGAAGAACCACAGAAAATGTTCTTCTTCACGTTAAATCACTTATTAGAATGATACGGAAAATCGACTCGGTGTTCTATTTTGTTTTCTCTCGTCGAAAATTCGAATTTCATCCCGCTATATCTATATTCATATGCGGACTTCGGACATAAAGGTAGTTTGCACTGTTTGTGAGGTTATCGGGTTATGTTTGGAATGTGATAAAAGGGAGATGTGTCGAAAATATTGTGTGATCAAGTATTAAATGTCCGTGAATAGTTAAATTCGAAAAGAAAATATTTATTGCACGATGAGGCATAAAATAGTTTATGTCGCGCCGTGCAATAAGTCGAGTTTATCGCATGCTGCGCTTCGCGTAGCCTGCTCGAAACTCGACTTCTGCACGACTTGACATAAAATATTATAGAGCACTCGGTAATAAATTTCGTTTTCAACGGATGTGTGTACAGACCTCGCCTTCGGCTCGGCCTGTAAACTACACATTCGTTGAAAACGAAATTTGTGCCCTTGTACTCTAATGTACTAATAGACCACTCGGGCATAAACTTCGTTTTCAACGAATGTGAATACAGACCTCGCCTTCGGCTCGGCCTGTAAACTTCACATTCGTCGAAAACGAAATTTGTGCCCTTGTACTCTAATGTACTATTATTTTTCTCCGAATGTAACAGAAAATGTTTTCATTCCGTGGAAAAAAATTCACTAAATTAAGTGACAGTGAAATGCGAACAATTTTGTGATTATTTATAAAAAATTAGTAGGAGACGGTGGGATTAAATGGACACTTTGAAACCTTTCCAAAATGTTGATGTCTTATTGAAGTGCTGATGAAATAGATTATTTTCTTTAATTAAAGTATAGTCAGCCCCTTTGTAATAAGCTTAGACTGGGCTCAATCGATAAATTTGTTCCTTGGTTATAAATATTGAAATAAGAAGTCAGAAGAGTCCATTCCACCCAATGTTTCCCTAATATTTTTTATTCCGCGCCGTGCAATAAGTGGAGTTTATCCCACGCTGCGCTTCGCGCAGCCTGCCGAAAACTCGACTTTTGCACGACTTGACATAAAATATTATAGAGCACTAGGTAATAAATTTCGTTTTCAACGAATGTGTGTATNAATAAGAAGTCAGAAGAGTCCATTCCACCCAATGTTTCCCTAATATTTTTTATTCCGCGCCGTGCAATAAGTGGAGTTTATCCCACGCTGCGCTTCGCGCAGCCTGCCGAAAACTCGACTTTTGCACGACTTGACATAAAATATTATAGAGCACTAGGTAATAAATTTCGTTTTCAACGAATGTGTGTATAGACCTTGCCTTCGGCTCGGCCTGTAAACTACACATTCGTTGAAAACGAAATTTGTACCCTTGTACTCTAATGTACTATAAAAACAAAACAAAAAACAAAAAACAGATGTTTTCAAAAAGAATTCTTTGTGAACATTTTGTTCGACTATTCCTATAAGGAAATCAGTTCATCTCTCCACGCAATATAATCCATACATGGAGAGAAATTTTCTAGAAAAATTCTAGTACGAGTACTGGAAAAAATTACAATCCACCAGTTGTGAAAAATTCTGGTGCTGTTAAGGTAAAATTTCTTGGTACTTCTGGTAAAATTTCTAGGAATTTCTGTGAAATTTTCACAGAAATACGGGGAAAAATTCACGTTTTCCCCAATAAAATTTCCAGTACCGGCACTGGAATTTTTTCCTGGCCGTCACTTTGCGCCTCTTTTCCCGTGCTAGCACTAGAATTTTTCTAAAAAATTTCTCTCCGTGTATAAGAATCATCAGAGCAAAAATTGAATGAAGAACCAAATCAAGTCAGGAAATTGTTAATAGATGATTAAAATTTGAAATTCGCTGGAGAGAATAAATGTGGAGTAGAACTGTTTATTTCCCTTCAATTGTTGATTCAAAAAATGTTCCATCTTATGAAAAATGAATCAGTTAAATTAAATTGAAAAGAACAAATTACACCGGATGTAAAAACAGTCCTTGCTTATTTTGAAAAAAATAATGAAATCTGCCTAAAAACACAAAAACAAATGTTTTTGTAAAAAAACTGAGCCAAGAAAAAGTTTTGTTTGATTCCTACTGGGAAATCGAAGTTTTTGAAAAATACATAGAAATAAAAAAGGAAGCCAAATTAGGAATTTTGAATAAATGGTGATAGTACACATTCAGGTTTCTATAAGAAAAATAGTTCTCAATGATATAAGTATTGTAAAAAAATTCTCCATGAAATAAAAAATCAGTAGGAGCAGGACTAACGTTCTTGGCGCGGAGTTTTTCAATTCACTGTCTGTATCAATCTATTCCTCCATCCTTTGATCCGCGCCAAGGACGGTGGTTCTGCTCCTACTGATTTTTTATTTCATGGAGAATTTTTTTAGAAAACTTATTCCATTGAGAACTATTTTTCTTATAGAAACCTGAATGTGCACTATCACCATTTATTCAAAATTCCTAATTTGGCTTCCTTTTTTATTTCTATGTATTTTTCCAAAACTTCGATTTCCCAGTAGGAATCAAACAAAACTTTTACTTGGCCCAGGTTTTTTACAAAAACATTTGTTTTTGTGTTTTCTATTTTTCCGCTGCATTTACTTTTTTTCTCATTACAAAATTTAAGAAGAAAAATCTCGAAAATTAATACTCAAGCAATCTTTTTATAGAACAAATCCCAACATAATAAATTGCATGGTACAATTGTATAATCTTTAATACTACTTGGTAAAGAATGAAAAATATTGTTCGAATAGACTTCTATTAGACATTCAATAGAGTCCTAATAGAATATCAATATTTTTTTATTTTTATTCATATTTCTTTCCTACTACCATTACGGTTTTATAGGCTCCCCATTCGTCTGCCTTGCCTCTCCCACTTCTCTCTTCTGATTTTTATCTGCGTTACCATGGGCCGTCTTACTCTTAACTTTTAGTCCAGTCAAATTAGATTTTTTACATGGAAATTAACCAAAGGGCACCAAATTACACCAATCGATAGCTAAAAGTGTAATTATTAATGTTTTAAAAAGTATATGCTCAAATTTGCCGGGGTGATTCACAATTTGTTATAAACAATTGGGAATTGCCGACAGGCCGTCTTCAATCCTAGATATCTTTAGTTAACCTTATCAGATGGGAAAAAAAAATATTTCTTTGTAGCTGAGAAAATGTCCTATCGGGGGGAGTTAGGAACTTATAGCCCAAAATGTACCGTTAATTTATTATAAATTATAATAGCAATTTCGGAGCAGTCGGCGCACCGCGTCAGCTGTTACCCTCCCTGCGACAGTGCCATGAGTCACGTGATTGGTGCCATGCGCAACTTATTCAAACCTCCTGCTGCGCTCAACGCAATAGGCCTCAGCTGGATTTTTGATGAATATCTTTTTGTTTTTTTTTTATTTGAATGCTCAAAACTTTACAAGTTCATACTGCATGTAAAAGAAATAGTACAAAAAACAAAATATAATTACATATATAACAAAAATGCTGGTTATTGTCCTCGATTATATTGGAAATTCTGGTATCTAAGAAAATACAGGTGTGAATTACAATTCTGTAATCTCCGGAAGTCTTAAATTTTCAGATTACTGTCTACGAGAAATTTGGAGATGATCTCAATAAACTTTGGTTTCAGTTCCTTGAGAATTGTTCGGCTGGAATAGGGGGGAAGGAGTTGATTTCGTTGGAGAGAGATAAACATGTTTCCTCTCGCTTGATTATGTCGTGGGCAATCCCAGAGGACATGATCAAGGTCTTCGTTTGGATTCCCACATTCGCATTGGGCCGAGTCTATGAAATTTTTTCTTTTGAGAGAGGCGGAGAGATGATAATGATTGGCTCTGGCTCTATTTATCCAAACTATTGAGAATCTATTGAGTTTCCTTCCGTAAAACCAAGGTTTGCGAGATTTTCTGTAAAAATTTTGAAAGTATTCTTTGCCTTTGCCATTTTCATTATCAGCTCTCCCCTCCTCGACACAAATTTCCAATGTGGAATCTAATGATCTCTTCTTTAAGTTTCCTCTGAAGTCGGAAAATGGAATTTTCACTGCATTGTTGGGGAGAGTTTCAGTGGCTTCGCCGGCCAGACGGTCGGCTTCCTCATTACCCTCAATTCCGGTATGGGAGGGAACCCATTCAAATTTTAGGAAGAATTGATTATTGTTGCTCTGTAGAAATTATTCATAATTTTTCTTCGCCTCTAGAATAAACTTATTTTCCCT